GTTATGAGGAATGCTCTGTATTATAAGTATATTTATATATAATTAGCCAGACTTATTTCTAACACATTCAACCATGTAGGAAAATCGCCGATAAATTTAAGATTAGGGTATTACACTCCACAATGTCTCAACCAACTCCACCGCCACTGCATCCGTCACACCTTCTGTCATTCCGACATCAACACTGATACAACGCAGGTTCCCTCTCATGCAAGTATCCGATGGTACATCTCACTGCAACACACACATACCCATTCGATGATATATACCAAAAGCCATATTAATTCGGAAAAACCCACCTTAATTATGTAATTGACTAAAGCGATCATTGCTCAGAGTGCGCCAAAGTCTTTGGGTCTTAGAGCCGATTTAACATATGCTTAAGCTACAAATTCTATTTTGACTATTAAATAGTATAAAAGTTAGTCCATCTTGCCCAACTAAAAAATACATTTAGTAAAAATCATGTTTATATTATTAATAAAGACTCTTTTTCAAAAAGTTTACTTTATTTATGTTGTTTAAAATACAAACAATACATTATCACCAACACTCATACATACATAAATATTAGAAAGATCAATTTTATGAAAAATTTAAATAATTTTTTAACACGCATTACGTGTTGTTCATTTTAGGGTGTAATGCCTTTTCATTAGTTTAAACAAGTTAATAACCTCCTGTTAAAAAAAGTAATCGAAACAATAACAAACTCATGATTGAAAGTTTTAAATTTTGAAAATTCATTGACCGCAAGTTCGATCATGTCTATACTTAATAAACAAACTAGTTAATGGAAATTATGATAATTTCTCTTTTATCAAAAAAAATACAATTCTTTTGCAGTTTCAGTGCACTTAGAAAGGAACACGAAGAAAATATTCAACTTACCAAATATTATACATAGAAATTAAAGACGATCGGTCCATAAATAATTTTAACTTATACTCTTAGTTGATGTTACATTTACATTATTAAAGGCACTTTAAACATCCGACGCTTATATTTTCTTAAAGCTGAAAGTACACACAGTATTCTGAATAGATGTCTCGGTTCGTAAAAAAATTTTTGGTTGAATTTTATCATTACTCCGACATTTTAAAGCCAGCTAGCTATAAGCGTTAAAGTATATGAAGGGGACCTTCATGAAGTATCGATTCACATAAAATTTGCTAGAAGCTTTTTGGTTGCTTCATTATGAACAGATCATAATAAAATTTGGTTGAGAGATTTCTGTTAATATTAAATTCGTTTATGTCAAATATCATTTCTATAGGTTAAAGTCTTTTCCTGAAAAGAAAATTACATTGAGATTTCAGTACTTTGGGGCCAGGTGAAATAATCATCTGATCTGACCCATTTTCAATTCCAAACAGCTTGAACGAATAAAAAGTATTTGTGTAAATTGTCAGCCCTTTAGCTTTTTTCATTCGGACCCTATCATGTTTTCAACAGAGGGTCTTGGTTAGATCGTCTTAGAATCCAATGATGACCCTGAATATATGTATATTCTTTTAAGTGTCGTAAACCAAAGAAGTTTTAATGAGCAGAACGACATGTCGCCACAGTACATGCTCAAAACTTTTCATGGAAGAGACGGTGAAAACAAAAAGATAGGTTATGTTAGGTTGAAAGGATCAAGTCCGAAAAAATATACCTATTATTGTTTTTATTGGTCAGTGTTATATGTACATTAAGTCGTAGTTACCCTACTAAGACCCATAAAATGTTACATCTATAAAATATCCAATAATAATTGATCGACCAAGAGATGAATCATTACACTTGTCGGATTATTGACCTGATACACTATATACTACTCAAAAGAAGATTTAAAAGATTTAGCTCGGCGTTTAAGTACATTTCAAAGAATGAGGTTATAATATCAAATTGATATCTCCGGACAATCTTCAGCATTTGACTGATATTTTTTTTAATAAAATTTTCAATAAGTTCTAGTTTTTTTAAATGGTTTTCATAATGAGCTTTAAGCTTTAAAACTAGTTTTATATATGTACCTTACCATCAATTCATTAGGTTTCGCGTTTTCCATGGAAAAAAATTATAATGCATAAATAAACCATTTGTTCTGAATTAAAATATAATTTTTATAATAAAACAGTAATTCATTCATCAAATAAAAAACTACATTCGAAAACTATGTATTTTATTTATCAAGAATTTTTAGCAATTATGTTCGCGTACGTTGCAAATTACAGGTGTAATAAATTTAATAAAAACACAAAAATTATAAAGAAAGTGCAAACACAGCTAATTTTTAAACTTTTCATATTTTCTTTGAAATCATGATCATCATTATCATGCTGAAAATGAGAGAAGAAAATATTTATTTATACCGGAGTAATGAAAAATTACAAATGCATCGATGGATAACAAAAACATGTCAGTCAAATGAAAATTTGTTGTATGTATATAAAAATATTGTATGAAACCTTCGGCCCCTAAGAATGTAATTTCTAAGACACATAGATTGGAACAAATCAGTGGCAAAAATGGAAAAGTACATATCTCAAGTTATTTAAATCTCCGTACTCAACTCGGTATTGTGTGAATTTTTCGTGAAGATCGGATCAAAACTTTTGAAAATATCAAATTTTTTAAATGTGTTTTTTATAGTTTTGTATGGAAATTTAAAACTTTAAAACGTTAATTAGTTAGTTAGTTAGTTAGTTAGTTAGTTAGTTAGTTAGTTAGTTAGTTAGTTAGTTAGTTAGTTAGTTAGTTAGTTAGTTAGTTTGTTAGTTGTTAGTTTGTTAGTTAGTTAGTTAGTTAGTTAGTTAGTTAGTTAGTTAGTAGTTAGTTAGTAGTTAGTTAGTTAGTTAGTTAGTTAGTTAGTTAGTTAGTTAGTTAGTAGTTAGTTAGTTAGTTAGTTAGTTAGTTAGGTAGTTAGTTAGTTAGTTAGTTAGTTAGTTAGTTAGTTAGTTAGTTAGTTAGTTAGTTAGTTAGTTAGTAGTTAGTTAGTTAGTTAGTTAGTTAGTTAGTTAGTTAGTTAGTTAGTTAGTTAGTTAGTTAGTTAGTTAGTTAGTTAGTTAGTTAGTTAGTTAGTTAGTTAGTTAGTTAGTTAGTTAGTTAGTTAGTTAGTTAGTTAGGTTAGTTAGTTAGTTAGTTAGTTAGTTAGTTAGTTAGTTAGTTAGTTAGTAGTAGTTAGTAGTTAGTTAGTTAGTTAGTTAGTTAGTTAGTTAGTTAGTTAGTTAGTTAGTTAGTTAGTTAGTTAGTTAGTTTAGTTAGTTAGTTAGTTAGTTAGTTAGTAGTTAGTTAGTTAGTTAGTTAGTTAGTTAGTTAGTTAGTTAGTTAGTTAGTAGTTAGTTAGTTAGTTAGATTAGTTAGTTCGTTAGTTAGTTAGTAGTTAGTTAGTTAGTTAGTTAGTAGTAGTTAGTAGTTATTTAGTTAGTTAGTTAGTTAGTTAGTTAGTAGTTAGGTTAGTAGTTAGTTAGTTAGTTAGTTAGTTAGTTAGTTAGTTAGTTAGTTAGTTAGTTAGTTAGTTAGTTAGTTAGTTAGTTAGTTAGTTAGTTAGTTAGTTAGTTAGTTAGTTAGTTAGTTAGTTAGTTAGTTAGTTAGTTAGTTAGTTAGTTAGTTAGTTAGTAGTAGTTAGTTAGTTAGTTAGTTAGTTAGGTTAGTTAGTTAGTTAGTTAGTTAGTTAGTTAGTTAGTTAGTTAGTTAGTTAGTTAGTTAGTTAGTTAGTTAGTTAGTTAGTTAGTTAGTTAGTTAGTTAGTTAGTTAGTTAGTTAGTTAGTTAGTTAGTTAGTTTTAGTTAGTTAGTTAGTTAGTTAGTTAGTTAGTTAGTTAGTTAGTTAGTTAGTTAGTTAGTTAGTTAGTTAGTTAGTTAGGTAGTTAGTTAGTTAGTTAGTTAGTTAGTTAGTAGTTAGTTAGTTAGTTAGTTAGTTTTTTAGTTAGTTAGTTAGTTAGTTAGTTAGTTAGTTAGTTAGTTAGTTAGTTAGTTAGTTAGTTAGTTAGTAGTTAGTTAGTTAGTTAGTTAGTTAGTTAGTTAGTTAGTTAGTTAGTTAGTTAGTTAGTTAGTAGTTAGTTAGTTAGTTAGTTAGTTAGTTAGTTAGTTAGTTAGTTAGTTAGTTAGTTAGTTAGTTAGTTAGTTAGTTAGTTAGTTAGTTAGTTAGTAGTTAGTTAGTTAGTTAGTTAGTTAGTTAGTTAGTTAGTTAGTTAGTTAGTTAGTTAGTTAGTTAGTTAGTTAGTTAGTTAGTAGTTAGTAGTAGTTAGTTAGTTAGTTAGTTAGTTAGTTAGTTAGTTAGTTAGTTAGTTAGTTAGTTAGTTAGTTAGTTAGTTAGTAGTTAGTTAGTTAGTTAGTTAGTTAGTTAGTTAGTTAGTGGTTGGTTAGTTAGTTAGTTAGTTAGTTAGTTAGTTAGTTAGTTAGTTAGTTAGTTAGTTAGTTAGTTAGTTAGTAGTTAGTTAGTTAGTTAGTTAGTTAGTTAGTTAGTTAGTTAGTTAGTTAGTTAGTTAGTTAGTTAGTTAGTTAGTTAGTTAGTTAGTTAGTTAGTTAGTTAGTTAGTTAGTTAGTTAGTTAGTTAGTTAGTTAGTTAGTTAGTTAGTTAGTTAGTTAGTTAGTTAGTTAGTAGTTAGTTAGTTAGTAGTTAGTTAGTTAGTTATTCGATTGTTTTCTTTTTAAAATTTACAACAAAATATTATATTACCCATGTCTGACATCAAACACACCTACATACATTTCATTTAGAAGTTATAAGAAATATTAAACTAATTAAGAGTCCAAGTAACATCTTAAATACATTGAAAACTTTAGACCACATAAAAAAAATTATAAACAAAAGAAATTATTTCGTACATTCACGTTTAACTAAGAAAAACTATTATTTATCAGAGAAGATACAAACATATTTATTTTTTAAACATGTTTAAGATGCTTGTGGAACACGCCAATAGTTTCCATATCAATGATTTGCGCAAAATGAAAATTAATTTATAAAAGCTGGTAGCATCACATTACAAGACAGCAGTTGCATTTAAGAAACTTTAATATCGATATCAGCCAAAAAGAGCTGATTAAAATCATCGAACAACTCACCACAAACCATTTTTCTTACCAACAAACAGCGTCCACAATAAACCTTTTGAATGTCTAAACTTTTCAAAAAGAATACGAGTATTAAGTGAAAGGATTAATAAGATTTCTTTTTGAAAAAAGATCTGTTATAAGATCTTCTAGTGTAAAAAAATATTTCATAAAACCCATAAAAACGGATTAAGTGTTCAAAATAAAATGTCAAGTGAAAAACAGTTAAAATGTTTAATATTTACAATCTGTATTATGGGGACAATTCTACCAGTCACTCTGGCGCACAGAAGAACCCACAGGAGTACATCAGCAGCATCGTCAACGCCTTCCGGGTCCTCAGCGAGAGCTAGCAATACAGCATCTTCACAAACGTCCTCCTCTTGGTTAGGACCGGAATTTCAAATAATACGACGTGTTTATGACGACTGTCATGCTAAAAATGACTTCATGAGCTGCTTAAAACACAAAGCACTCACGGGGCTAAGCAGGGCCATCGAACTGGACTCCATAAAAATTGTAGATGGTGTGGTATTGGAGAAGCAAAATCATACAGAGGAAGAAAGCATCATAAGTGCATTAACCGATGCCAGAGCTTTCAATAGTTTGGCTCCACTCGATCGTGCCCTTCTATCAAAAATCGATAAATTAGTGCGTACTCATTCCTTAAAGGTGGACATGAGCACAGCTCGTTTTGGTGGTGAAGGTGGTGGCGGCGGTGGTGGTCATGGTGGCGATGAGAGTCATCATGAGAAAAAGAAGAAAAGTAAAGAAGGTGGTGGTCATGTCAAATATATTATTGCAGCACTTCTGACAGCTATGGGCATTGCCGGTCCTATAGGTCTCAAGGCTTTGGCCGCCATTGCCGGCAAGGCTTTAGTTATAAGTAAAGTTGCTCTAACTATAGCCGGTATTATCGCATTGAAGAAACTCTTCTCTCAGGATCATCATGAGGAAACTAGTTTTCAGGTTCATGCCGGTGAACATAATAGGTAAACTTTAACGAAGACACCCGAAAAAGCATTAATCAAATCAATTATTGAATCTCTTTATTCTAATTTCAGACGCAATACTTATGTCATACGTCCAGTGCCTAAAACCGGCGGCATACCAGCAGCTGCTGGCGAAACTCCTGTTGTAGATCCCTACCGTTATTATTATGAGTATCATTGAATTGTTGTCATGGACCCGGCGTATCCAAGTCATTTAGTTTTAAGTTGTAACGTATTTATAGAAATCAAAATATTCAGACAGCTAATATACCAAAGATTCAATTCCAATAAATTGTATGAAGTTTGTAGGCAAATAATTGTACCTATTTTAAATAAACGATTAATTTTCGAATTCCAAATTCGTGTTCAAATTTTATTATCAGTAGCAGTAAATCGGCATGAGTCAGAAAAAACTTATGCAAATAACTCTATTCAAAACTTACTCTATCGTCGAGTAATATGTTAATTTTCCTACGATCATGGTACACAAGATATGACGCAAACAACAGCAAAAAGTGTTCAAAATTCTCATAAAATATAACATTTATTCAATTGTGGAAGTAGATCTACTAATTCGAACTAATGAAAGCATAGGAATATACTAAAATCCTTGCGCAAATTATGCTTCCGAACGTATCTGCTGAAATTCTCTTGATTTTGGTCATGTAACGATACAAAAGTCCAAATAAATTTTAACCCGTAAAATGGTCGATTGAGGTATCAAAATTTCCCTAACTACACTTACTGATAAATACGCACTCAATCAACCTTCAAGATCGCTTTGATAAGTTACTACCTCTAACCTGCTAATAATAATAAAAATTTATCGAATCTAGTCACTGTGTTACAGCAACAATCAAACAATTTATTAAACAAGTTACTTTTTCAATAAAGATACTAAGTACCAAAGACGAAATTATAATATAATTTGCTTTAAAACAAGAAACAACTAGTTTCAGCACCTAATTGAATTAAACATTTGATTTAACGGAATTTGTGGTCAAATTCTGATTTGTTATCGATTATTGACAACAGGGACAACATCGTCTTTTTACCATAACTAACTTACTGCGTTCTGTTTCAACCCTGTGTCAGATTTAGATAGTGTCGCCAATATGAAGATTTTGTTAATTTGACGTTTTTTCATTAACATATACAAATCAAATATATAAATGACACAAGTTTCATTTTTTTTTAATAATTATAATTATAAAAACAAAATATTTTATTGCAGCATTGACGAATATTTATTTGAGCCGGTAAAACGTTAGCAATAAGCTGATTAACCGCCGACGAATTCTATTCTTTCCGACGCCGTTGAAAAATATTGGTTGGCGTTTGGTTCTATGTGCTAATGTTTATTTACATTTTTTAATATTGTTATTATAAGAAAGAAAACACATTTTTTGTGGCAATTATGGAATTTAGAAATAAAGATCCTGGAGCCGTACAATTTGGAAATTTTATAAATTATTATCAATTCAACTCTGCCGAAGAAAGACTAAAATTATTGCCTTCACAATATTGGCTGCCGGAAGATGAGAACGAATCATCATTGGAACCCTATCTCGTACTAGATGTTGGTTGCAATTCTGGTGTTTTTACACAACTATTACAAAAGTTCCTAAGTAGTTTAATGCCACAGCGTAAAGTCTGTATTTATGGCGTGGACATAGATACAGCTTTAATAGCCCGCGCTAAAAAGGACAATAGCAATTGTGAGCAGATATCATACGACTGTGTCGATGTTATGGATAATGAAGCATTTGAAAAGGTACAACAATTTCTGAAAATCAATAATAGAACGCATTTTGATGCTGTATGTTGTTTTTCCATTACCATGTGGATACATTTGAATCATCACGATGCAGGTCTTCAAGAATTTCTTCGAAAATTATCCAATATAGCGAAATTATTTATAGTCGAACCACAGCCTTGGAAATGTTATCAAACAGCCGAGCGTAGACTGAAAAAGTCAGGCGAGGTATTTCCTTTATTTCTGGAACTGAAGTGGCGATCACAAGTGGAAACGGAAATAGAAAACTTTATGGAAAATACAATGCAGAGGAAAAAAGTTTACGAATCAATACCAACCAAGTGGCAGAGAAAAATATGTTTTTACAGATGATATCAGTTATTTTAATTGATGTAAATAATAAATCAAGTTTTTTTATAAAATTTTAAAGCATAATGTTATGTTTCAAGGAATGCCTAGGTCCTATATACGGAAAGTAATACGTAGCTGATTACCAAAGTAGAATGAAGATTTATTTACTTTGAAACTAATATTTTTACCGTTCGTTCATATTTTTTTATTTTTAAGGAAGAGTCTGAACGTTTTATTCCTAGGTCTTTTTTGTAGTAATAGTTTGGCTGTTATTGGAAAAAAACTTAATCGGTTTCTTAGCACTTTTTCAATGCTGTTTTTGTTCTCATATTTAATAAAATATAGCAGAGGTTAAGCTTCTCTTTTAAGATCGACAGAATGTACTTTCAGGCGAGATAATTAATTTTATAAATAAAGACGTCTATCTCTGTTATAAGGGCTCAAAAGTGGCCAAAAACAGTCATTTAAATGACACGATATTTTGAAAACGGTGGCCTGCTTCAGATTTAACACAGTTCAATCCTTTTAAAAAGGTACATTTGCCTCTGAGTTATACTATTTTTCAAAATTGAATTCTACCACTTGACTAATATCATCATTTCAAATTTCTTTTTATAATACAATAAAAAATAACCTTTTTAAAGTTTAATTATATTGTTTTTTGTTTATTAATTTGTACATTTTTATACACTAATTAAAGACCCTAAAACATTTGTTTTCTTTCTTTTTTTGTTTAATATTAAATACATTAGATATACTTTTTTATCTCTTCTTTAACTTACTAAAAAATAATTAATGATCATTTTCATTTTTATAATTTTTTTGTTTTGTAAAATTTTGAATTTTAAAATTTTGTTTACAATTTTCTTTCGGGTTAAACCCACATATGCTCAACGAGTGCAACCGGAGTAGGGTGTTTTGGAAGAAAACGAAAAAAATAAAATAAATTAAAATTCAGTTGTATATTAATTAGTATTTCTTTTAGAATTAAAAAAATAAATCATAAACGCTAAAGGAAAATATAAAATAAAAGTAATTTCGTTAACTTTAAGTTTTAAGTAATGTAAAGTAATAATAATATACTTTGTTAAAATAATACAAAGAATTATTAACAGTTTTAATATTATTATTATTAGGGGGAAGCGGGACGAAGGATTTAATTTCTAAGGAAAATGGTATGAGAAAAAATTAAAATATTATTTAAAAATAAAAATCTTCATCTATTACATCTGTTGCTGTATCATGGTGGTGGTGATGATGAGGATCATGATGATTTTCACTTTCATCATCTTCCTCCTCTGTTGCTGTAACTGTGTGTATGACATTGGATAACTCTAAGTTAGTTCTTCTAGATGATGCTGTAGTTGCTGTTGTGGTTAAATGACGTACTGGTTGTGATTGTGGTTTCTGATAATGGTGCTGGTGATGAGGTGGAGATGATATTATTGCTGTTTGCGTAGGCGATGCTGTTAGTGTAATCGCTCGATTGTTGTTTTGGGAAGTTAAATTTCATCCAGCAACTTCTTCACCAGCAAAATCCAATTTTACAACATCAGCGGGCAAACATTCTTCAACATCAACTTCATTTTCTGTTGTATTGATGCGATTCAATGTCATTGTTACATCTGGTCCAGATTTCAGCGCCACTGAGGTGGCCGCTATATTTGGCACTGTGCTAGCGGCAATTGTTGTGGATGTCACAGCGTTAGTATTGGTAATAATGTTGGTGGCATTTGTTATCATATTGTTACTGATAGTTGTGTTGCCGACAGCATTATTGTTGCTGTTAGCTGCCACCAAAGTCGTTGTGTTTGTCGAGGGACCTGTGACAATTTGTTGTGTTGTTGGTTGTTGTATTACAATATTTTCGGTAACAGTAGCTGTGGCAGGGGTTGTAGGTGTCGTCGATATTGTATTTGTTGTGGTTGCAACATTCGTCGAAGTATTAGCCGATGCTGCCGCAGCTGCTGCGGCCAACAATGCTTTTTGAGCCTGCATTTGCTGGAATTGTTGTATGGTAACAGTTGTTGTTGTAGTCGTGGTATGGGAAGGTTGTATAACTTGTGTCTGTTGCTGCTGTAGCTGCTGCTGTTGTTGTGCATGTTGCAATTGCTGCAACTGTTGCGGCTGTAAATGTACTATTTGAGGTTGTGTCAATTGTGGTGATCCTGTTGCAACAATATTCGCCGTCGAGGTGATATTATTGAGTGACACTTGATTGCCCACCAAATTGTTGCTGCTAGTGCCCACTGATGGGGCGCCATGTGGTGATGCTTGTATTATAATTTGTTTTGGTGTGGTTTGCAGAATTTGTGTTGACGTGTTGCCTGCCGAGGATGATGTTGCGGATGAGGAAGATGATTGTTGAAGTACCTGTTGCAACGGTACAATATGTTGAACATTTTGTATATGAACTGTTTGATGCTGTTGTTGCTGCTGCGGCTGTTGCTGCTGATGTAAATGATGCTGTTGCTGTGAATTGATAACACCAGTGGCGATTACTGTTGCTTGTTGCTGCGGCTGTTGTTGTATATGATGTTGTTTTATTATCTGATGAGTTGTTGTCTGTTGCTGTGTAATGTGTTGCTGTTGTATTGGCTGTTGTTGTTGTTGTATCTGTTGCACCGTTTGCACGACATGATGTACTTGTTGTACTGGCACTTGTTTAGCTGGTATGCCAGCATCTTCAAATGCTTTTTTCTTTAAGGCCTGTCTTATTTGTGTTCTAGAATTTTAAACGGAAAATAAAAGGGAGAGAAAGGGGAAGGCATCTTTCATTAATAAGATAAGAAGTGCAATTGTAATTGTTTGCCCTCTCGCTATATCCTGTTGAGAGGTTGTTTATTTCTTTCAATAATAAAGTTTGCACTTACACTGTCCTATTTTTAATGCTTAAACTGATTTTATTTAAATCGTCCGAGAATCGTATTATTGATGCATGTAACATATCAATTTCTTCATCAGTCCATTTTCTGCATTGCACAAGACATTTGTAATTTAAATGTTGGTGTGTTTTGTTGTGATGGGTGTTTTTTTGTTTAAAGATGGACATAGCGAGAGAACAGAAAAATAGTTTTAAATTATTAGTTATTTGAGGTTGATTTGATTTATTAGAATATAGAAATTTTTTAAGATTCATTTGGAAATAGGAACAGTTTTTTAAATAATTTTTCTATTTTCACTACATATTTTCAATTAAGTGGCGGAATTTTTTATAGACCTCATGGGTCTGCTCCAAAACTATTTCAAATATATGAAAAAAATCATGTTCCATTTACCATGTCGATGTCCTTGATGAGGATCACATAGTTCATATTATACATTACATCAAACTAATCCCAAAACTATTCCTTTGCTAAAATTATAGGAGTACATGACCCACAACATGGTCCCAAAACTACTCGCCCGAAAAAATTGTTGGAGTTGAATCAATTATATACCATTTAGAAGCCATGTTTATGTAATGCAGGCATAGACCTGCATGTTCATTGTTTTTTAATACAACTTAATGGATCATGTATTCCAATCATTTTTCAGGGAATGGTTAAAGACAAATAATATGCTCTATCGTCTGAAACTCTTTAGCATCTTTACAAAACGTCGAAAAATGTTAATATTATCATTCACTTGCTTAATAGGATTGTTAAGAGAGGAAGATAAATAACTCATTATTTAAACGCTGTTTTGTGAGAGTGGCTTCTAAATTTTTTTCTAATTTCTAATTATTTGTGAGCTTTCCTTTTTAATTTGTTATTTTTTGAAATTAAAGGATCAGGCCCTTCATTTTTATCTGTTACTTTGGCACCGGATAATATTTTTTGCTTTTAGATTGGTAGTCAACAAATATGAATGCTGTGTACTATACTCATATGGGAGTCCTTAAACTACTTCTATTAAATCCAAATAATGTTCCGTAACACAAACCTGCTTAAATCTTTTTATACCAAATAAAGAAGTAGAAAGTGAATAGCTCTTAGACTGGTCAATATATAAAATTATATCCTAGTCAATTGATTAATCAAATAGACTAGCAGAAAGTTATCTAAAGACATAAACGCCGAATCCTATGATAGGTTAGCCAAATACATTGAATTACAAAAAATGAAAATAAATTCAGCTTTCGAGTAATGGATTAATGAACAAGTTCAATATTTTAAATAATAGTGTTTCTTTATACATATTGATAAATCTATTTACTAAAGGAATAAATAATATTTAAATTCTACTTTAAATGCTTACCCAGCTGGTGATTCTGCATTAGGATGCAATTGCATAGTTAAATCGCCCAAACGACTAAATGCCTGACCAGCAGCTGTGAATATTTCACCCACCTAGAAGAAAACAAAAACAAATTTTAAATAAAAACAAACTTTTAAATCGAATGCTCTCAAATATAAATAAACAATTATGCAAATTGTTGATGTAGGGGGAGAGTATATTTTTTATTTTGTTGATTTTCCAAAACAAATCAACAGTTTCCTTTAACTTTTAACTAATTGTCACAATAAAATGACTCGCACGGCAGCAAGTCTGTCCTTAGCTCTTCGGCCAATTAGTTATTTGTTTAAATAAATTTTAGATGGAATTATCTACCCTCCCCGCTGTATTTTTAACAATAATTATTGTTTGCAAACAAAACGCATACGACGTTTTACATTAGTTTTCTTTCCTCTTGACCGCCCTAAGGAATTCTATGATCTGACACTTGCCGAGCGAGAGTTGTTGTTTGGCACTGTGACTGACATTGACGACGTCGCTCAGGTTTTCCCGCACAAATTTTTAAACTATGATTTTTGCTATTTTTCAACTTTTTGCAATTGTTTTGGTTCGTTTTTATAAATTCAACTTACTTTTGTGGCTGAATTCATGGTATTTTTGTGAAAATTGTATTAGATTTTCTAAAATATTCTGTGAAAAATATAATATTGTACAGTTGTCAAAAACAGCGCGTAGATAACAGAGTTGTAAAAAAGTTGACAGTCGTTGAAAATGTGCTAGTTGTCGATGACAGGGTGTTTCAGAGATTTATTAAAATGTATGTATTTCTTAAAATGTGGTGTTTTCAAATTGTACTTTAT